CCCCTCTTCGATTTCTGAAAAAAAATCACACCACTGGTTCACTAGCTGAATCATAGTTCTAAACCGTATCAACTGGCACTGTTTGCCCTCTAAAATACCAAAAGAAAATTCGAGGCCCTTCAGTGTATTTGCCCCCAAAAATCACCGTGTGATTGTATGGATTTGTTTTAACAACAAGATTTGTGAAGATGATAAATTCGCATATAATTTTACTTTATATGTAAATACACTGTAAAGCATATTGCATTCAGCATATCGTGTATGGTGTTTTCGTAATGTACGGATTTGCTTAAATAATAAAAATGCATGTTTCGCTAACTCTATTGAAAATATCAGTTTTAAATATTTATGAGGCAAGTTGCAGTTGGAAGTACAACAAACAACGCATCATTGTAATTGCAAGATTATAGCTTTTTATTTCCTTGCCAAAAATATAAATACACTTTTACGGATTCTATATTAAAACGTCTTTTGTTCCCATTCATATTCAGCTGTTCTGATGCCATTTAAACGTGGAACACAGTCACTATAAAAATAAAGTTTCTATAGAAAAATAATACCACTGTCTTCATCTGTTTCCTATGCGTATGGAAGAGCTAGAAGACTGTGAATAAATATCACACTATCTTTTTTTATAATATAAAACTCTTTATCTAAAAGTCTTTTTAAAAATCTGTTGTAATCTAAGTAGGGACGGCAAGGAGGGTTTAACTGTTGTAGAGAAAATTCTCCATTTTAAAGAAAGTTCGTAAAGAAATAACAAGTCCGAGTCACAATTCCCGAAACATTAAAAAAAATTAACGACGTCCGGTGCAGGTACCGCAGCCACAAGATGTTGGTACGTCATACTCGCGCGTGACCTTTGAACCGTCCATGCAGGTAAGCTCAACCACGCGCTTCTCCGTCGTCTGTGCCTGGCAGCACTGGCAGTCATTCTGGTACTTGTTCATGACGGCGAAATATTTGAAGGCAGAGCTGCAGTAACCGGAGCACTCTCTCAGATCGGCCAGCTGTCCTTTGTTCTCACAGATCTGTCCGTTGATGGAGGTACGGAAGTAGCCGACGGTGTCTTCGGCTCTTGTGAACACAAGACGGGCAACGCATGGAGCGCATTCCTTGGTTGGGGCTAAAAAGATTTTAAAAAAAGATTGTTGAAAAAAAACAACATTAAAACCCAATTATATTTATTGTCGGTATATAACTACTATTTCCAAACTTTCCGACATGAAATTATTTATAATTTCAGTTGTTTTTGGTCCTATTTTATGAAAGCCTAAAAAAAGCATGTAAGCTAAGAAACTCTTTTTCTGACAATATTCAGAAGTTTCAGCTAAAACCAAACCAACAATCCGTTCCAAAAGATTTGTTCTAAATGAACGTAAATTTCAGTTAAAAGGAGATACATCCCGAGTCTACCATATTTCAATAAAGTTTTTAAAAGGTTTAAGTTAAAACTTGAGCAATTTTCCTACCTGCTGGGCGGCAGTGATCACAGCATGCGCCGGGGACTCTCTGGGCCTCTCCCTAGAAGATAAACATTTCCATATTAATATTAATAATTAATTTATTCATTCATGTAAATAACTTATCATATTTGTTAGCCAAAGCACTGTGGCACGAGTATTTGTTCGCTTCAAGCATTTCATTACAGAATTCCATACAAAGTTAACTTCGGCAAAATCTTGGATGTTTTAATCGTCCAAGGCAAAATTGTTCTAAAAGATTGCCACTCCCCGATTTTTAAAAGACATGCGTGAACCACACCTTTAACAAATTTAGCAGATAAGTTGAAAACATTTAACTAGCTCATGCTTTTAAATTTATCCAGGAAAAGTAGTTAACTTCAGGAATTCATCGCTTTTTTTTTCTATAATTTGTAAGTGGAAACTTACCTTCTTACAGACAGGCAATTCGATGCTGTTCTTGCACCTGGAACAAAGCCATCAAAATTATTACATGGAGGTTTATTTGAATATTAAAGAGAGAGAGAGAGAGAGAGAGAGAGAGAGAGAATGAGTGAGTGAGAGAGAGGGAGAGAGGTGGCATCTCGATACATAAACAAAACTACACTAACTGCATTGGGGATTAAGTAACATCATACTGTTCTGAGCCCAATAAAAGTTACTGAATTAAAATAAAAAACAAAAAATTAATGATAATAGTATATAAATAAATAAATAAATAAATAAATAAATAAATAAATAAATAAATAAACAGATAAATGTAGTTTGCTACCCACCTGATTTGAGAGGTGGAGACTGAAGAGCCGTACATGGTGTCCACAAAACATGTAGCAGTTGTACATGCCTCGGTGGCAGGGACGGCCTCACCGTTCTGAGGAAAAAAGACAAATAAAATGTCATAGTTGCAACAACAGAAATATGACGTTTCTTCCATATGTTTGAAGCAAGAAATAATAATTTTTAAAAAGGTCATTTATTTGCATGGATTGAGCATACTTTTTGCATTGTTTGAGTCAATACCACCACTGTAAAAATCACGATATAGTGATTTATAAATACATTATTAATCTTGTGAGTTTTCAGGGGATTTTTTAAAGTATTTTGTCTCACCAATTTATGATTCTGGTGAAGTTTACACAAATAATATATCAAAATGCAAATACATTGGGTACAAATCACTAAGTACCTTGTAAACAGTTCCATTGACAACACAGCCAACAGGCACACACTTGCCGCAGCACTTGCCAATCTCTGGTTTGTACTGGTAACCCTGTGAAAATAATAATAATAATAATAATAATAATAATAATAATACATAAATAAATTAACATTAATAAAATTTTTAAATTGGTAATATTAGGAATGCTTTTAAATAATCACTTGACATTCTAAAAGTTTAGTTTATTATTTTTATTTTCTATATTATTCTTTATCGTGTCAGGGGTATTGAGATCTTTGAGGGAATTCATCATTAAAGTATACCATTTAATTATCCTATAGTGAGGGAGAGATGTTTTTCTGTTCTTTTATTACAAAGTCGACAATGATGGCACATATAGACAAAAAGTCATTCACATAACTTTTATAAGATAAGAGACACAAAGTATTAATTGTACCATCAGGTTTGAGCAGGTCCTTACCACCATAAATCATACAAATCAGGGATAAGACTTTTTAGCTACAAAAAGTGTAAAATCCTCCAATAGTTGGATAATTCTCATTAATACCAATGATATTTTTGGCCTCCAAAAAGTCAGAAATTAACCAATGTTTGGAAAAATTGCATCCATGACAAATTAATTAACACATGGTCAGTTAGCGATCACTCACCAGGGCACACTTGGTCTCACAGCTGGTCACTTGTCTCTGGACAGTGGCTGGAGTGCCAGCGACACATTCGTAGGACTCGCATGGCTTGCCTGGTACCTTCCATGTCTGACCAATCTGTTATAACAAAGTGGAAATATTTAAGTGTCAATTTTAAAATATGCAAAAATAGTTTTTAAAAATATGAAAAAAAGTTAATAAATACTGTTTTTGGCTTAACTTAAAACTTGAACTTTACCAAATACCAGCAAATTCAAAGCAGAGCCAGTAAAAATTTTGTACATTTTGTTCTGTTACTGGTCATGCACAGTTTCTGCTCTGAGACTGATTCTCAGACCCTGGTGCTCTGAAGAGCCATTTAATAGACTAAAAGATTTGGCATAGTTTGTAAACAAGTACTAAAGTTCAATTCAATTAAAATACCTTCAACATATTTCAACATGAACCCCCTGAAACCCAAATATTGGTATAATATCTCAAAATTAAATCCCAAAATACCCTTTCAAAAAAGTGCCTTTAATGAGAATTGTTTATTTCTGGATAAAACTATTTCTCCTGTCTTGTAAACTGCTGACATTTAGCCATATCAACAAGAGTTACAAGTAATGAGTCAATATCCCCATTATGTCTTTACCTCATATATTTTCACCTCGCCAGAGGCCATTGTAAACTTGCACTTGTTCTCTGGGACAACTGAAAATGAAAAACCTCTTGTTAGTCACCAATGTCTAATTGACAATTTCAAAATTATTAACTAAAGCAAAATGTTTTTTCTATACTTAAAAGAGGGCATGAAAATAAATAACCAAGGAATGAACAGAATTTGAATGTTATGGAAGAATCATAATGATGAAAACTTGATGTCATAATCAACCTCATATCAATTAATCATGGTTTCACATTGAAATGCATTATGTTGCCAGTTGCACCACAATTTAAGGAACATAATTTAATGGTAACTTACCACAATCGACTTCATACTTGAGGCAGCCACATTCGTCAGCCACACTCTTGGCAATAAAACCCTGGGAATGGAGAAAAATTATAATTAATGTAACACAATGTACTGTGCAGTTAGGCAATTTACATAAAGAGATCCTTACAAAAATGATAACTGCAAAAGAAACGATAATAAATCAAACAGATTACAGATTTGATTGATGTATACTAGACACTACAGTCTTAATTTTTTTTAATCAGAAAAAAACAGTTTGATAAGAAAAACCATATTAAAATGCTCTTAGACTACCAGAACAAGAATATGTAATATATCATATGGTCAGTGATGGCTACTTACTGGTCTGCAAGTTGGTGCTGGAGATGGTGGGCAGTCCTTGAGTGGTGGACACTCTGAAAAGGGGAAAAATAATTTCCTTCTAAGTCTAATATCCAACTAAAAAAGCCAGTCATCTCTCATTTAAGTTGAAATCAAATCTTTCAATATAAAGGGATACAGAATGTTTGTCTTTAAAAATGGATATCTCACAAATAAACACCCAAGGATGATCTGCAACTTCTATCAATTTTTCCCTGAAATTTTGTCCATTGTTTCAGGAATCATGAGAATATATCTGTTCTTGAAAAAATTGTACAGCTCTTGTCCTTTTTTCATATTACTTGGTTACGAAAAATATGTAAATGGTAAAGAAAAATTCACTTACTGCATTCGTATGTTGGACAACATTCATCGTTCTTGGCCAGGTAAGCACTCATTGGTGCGGCGCAGGCGAAGTTGGTCTTTGGACACATTTCACGTTTGCAGACGACCTTGTAGATGTCGCAGCAGCCGTCAGTGGTCTTCTGGAGAATGGCTTCCTCTCCTGGTTTCAGGTTAGGCTTCACCAATGGGAGACATCTGACGTTGGCACAGACTGCAAATACAGACAAAAATTTACTAAATCATTAAATTGGAATTTCATGGAAGCCACAAAGTTTTCAGGGATGTTATCAGGAAAAAAGCCCTAAAGGGAGGAGCGGAAGAAATGTAAACTGTCCCCACATTTCCGTCCCCTCCCTTTATTTAAGTTCATACAAAAATGCAGAAGCTACTTACAACCTTACAAGTTTTTCCATGTGCGTAATTTAATAGTTTTTTAAATATCTATACTTACAAGGTGTGGGTCTTGGAGTAGGCTGTGGTGTTGGTGCAGCTGAAATCACACAAAAAAATCAATAAAATGCTCAGTTTTTAAAGTGGTAACAACTTAAATAATTAACTCTAACATCTTTCAATGATGCATATAATAATATACATTCTGTTCTATCAAGAATTCATTTGGTATTTCATTGATAGATGCTTACAAAACTGACCACAAATATTTCCACAAAGAATATTGTACATGAAGGTGTCCCATCCCATATATTATCTTACATGGGAAATCATTACAACAGTTCATCTATTTGATGCAAGTGTAGCCACTTTCAAGGGGATCAGTCTTAAATGAACTGGGTCAGGTATTAAATCTCCATTTATGCCAGCAGACCAGGCAGTAGCTTCTTTTATGCCCTTCACATGATATATATATATATGTGCATGCATGTTTGTGCACGTGCTACTTACGACAGTCTTCCACCTTGACACAAACGCCAGCCTTCATGACATAGCCGTCCTTGCAGTAGCAGCCATCAGCTGTCGCTGTGGTGCATGGCGTGCTGTCGAAGGTAGCCATGTTGTCACATGTCTTGACGCATGATGGTCCGCACTCCTTGTACACCATGTTGTTGTTGCAGATGACGGCTGTAAATTAAGAGATAAAGCTTTAAGCTATTACATAACTGTCTTAAAAAATTGGTCAAGATATCTAAAAAATCCTCAAATACTACAAGACAAAATGCCTAAAAGGAATCTATATAAAAATAAAGTAAAAACACCGAATTTATGAGATATCCAACAGTTCACCTGCATTTAGTCCAACTACATGTAGTATATTTGATGAAAGTTGATAAATCTGAAGTTAAAATGAAATTATCAAGTCACTTCAACTTATTCATATGTATCACTTATTTATACAGTGTATTTTACTATGTATATTTTATCTTAATTTACGCAACACAAATTCAACTTACGGCACAGATCCTGAGTTCTCCAGTCCAGGCACACACCGGCCATGGCGCAGGCACGTGCATACGCGGTCAATGAGTCGCACACACCTTTCTGTTTCTCATTACCACACTTGGTATCATAGATACAGTTCTCGAAGTACTTAGCTGGGTTGACGAGAGCATGACAGGCCTTGAAGCTGTTGTCGTAGACACGGTTGCACTCCAGCGCCCCCTGTGGAGAGGTGCAGGTCTTGTTGACGACGGTGCACTGTGCAGAGTTGTCGGCGGGTGTCTCGAGCCAGGTGAGAGCGAAGTCATGGGCCTTGGCCTTGAGGGTCTTGTCTCTGGCCATGAAGTCGTCTGCTCTGCTGTGGGTACAGGTACCTGATGGGCAAAAAGAACATACAAGTGTTGACTGAAAGTATGATAGAGAATCTTAAATATGAATACGTAACTATGAAACTGTCTTAAATATGACAGAGGATCTTAAATATGAATAACTACGATACTGAAACTAACTGATAAAAAAATTCTCAGTCAAAATCAACCACAATTTTATGATAATTTCTTTAAAAAAGAAAAAAAAGAAAAGAAAAAAAAAGAAAAGAAAAATGTTAGCTTACCACACAACCCTTCGGTCTTGTTGAAGTAAGCAGCAGATGGCAGTTTGACCTGGAAGCCGTGGTTCAGTTCAGAGAAGCGGACCTCGAGATGGAGAGATGGCACGTTGAGCACGTAGTGTGTTCCCACGCGTTTCAGCGTCATGGTGCTGGTGATGTGCGGCAGGGAAGAGCGGCTCATGAGGGAGCCGTCATAGAGCACCTGAAATTTCAGTGGACATTTGCTGTATAAGAACATATCATGAATGCAGTACAAAAACCAAATATTGAGAGTGTGAAGGCTATGATTAACAATAAGAAGAATGAATTGAGAAACAAGTAAATCTTTCAGTGAAAAATGCAAAAGAAAGATGCAAGTATACCTAATTTTAAAAATGTCCTAAGACATTAACATGTCTGACAAAAAACAATGACTCAGAATCTGATTAAAACTCTACTATTCTTTATTATATAAAATGAGAATAATACTAATTAACTTTATTTTTTAAAATGCATGACTACAGCGGGTCTAAAACTATTTATGTATTACTATCCAGTTCATGCAAAAATAAAAATGTATAATTAGAATACATGGAAATTAAATGAATTAATAGCATTTAGTAAAATAAGTCTTTAAAAAGTCCCTAGCCAGAAACAAACCTTGTTGTTTGGCCTGAATTCAACAGCATGGCCACTGAACTTAACAGTCAAGCCCTGTGTGCAGGCGGTGGCTGGGGTCTCGGTGCACTTCTCGTTGTGAGCGAGCACCTCGAAATCTGTGTGTGCGGTATCACGTGCCAGAACGTATGTGCATGTGCCTTGGAATGGGAAGTAGGAGCCGTCGAAAGTGACGTAGTGTGGGTCTCCATAGCCGTAGCAGACACCTGTGGATGGATAGAAATGGAAATTAAGTAATTTAGGCTCGACAAAACAAACTCGAAAATACATTTTTTATCTTTTCTACATCACAAACATTAAAATCTTATCAACTTTAGTTTTGACATTTTAAACTTACAATATTTGCAAAGAGACAGTAGATGAAACACAAAAATTCTGGTATTGTTTGTTTTTTATCTGAAAAAATAATAGAATACCTCTAGCATACCCTTTTAACATTCCAGAAAAACAAAACATGAAAAAAATAAAATAGGTAATTCCAAAATTCTTTCAGTCCCTTACATATTCTATTCTATTCTAGTTAGCTTGAAATCTGTTCATAACATTTATGGATTTCTTAAAACAAAAAGAGGACAAGAAAATAAAAAAATTCAAATATACTTACAATCCTCGCAGCTGGTTGGTGCGACGCATGTGTCTCCCTTCTTCACCAAGCCAGGCTTGCACTGACATGCAGGAACGCATGGTACGTTGCATGCTGCGTCCTTCTCGCGGTAGTTAGAGCACGTGCTTGGGCATCCGCTGGCGCACTCGCTCCAGATCATGTCTGGTGGGCAGGTCTGGACAGCTAGAGGAGAAAAAAGTTAATTTCCATTACCTTAAATCAAATAATTTCAGCCTTTGACACCAGCCATTTTTATTTTTAAATTATGAGTTTGATCAGAAGCATGTCTTTTGTGATTAAAACTAGTGCCAATCATATTTTCCAAGTGCTGACTGTCTTTCATGAATAATTCAATTTTGTCCATCCATAAAATCCATAACTCTATTTTTAAAGATTCATTTCCTTAGTGGCACTGAATTTGTACAAGAAACAAATGTGATCCAACAAAACAGACTTTAAATACATGTAGCACATTCAACTTCAAAGCAATTTAACACTTTTACAAAATTACTCAACAGGTGGCAGTATCTGCTAGTATCTTCAACTTACCACAGCCAACAGAGATCTGCCAGTTGTCAACAGGCTTCTGGTTCATGGCGCATGCACGCATGTACTCGGAGTACACGTCGCACTTGCACTGGTCTAGACCGTTGATGCCGTTGCTCTTGATGCAGTTGCACATGTCAGCCTCGCAGACCTTGACGTACCATTCAACTGGCACAGAGGCATGGCAGGCAGAGAATGGTGATTTCCTGGAGCAGAAAAATATGAGATTTAAAAAGATATCGAGTGCTCCATGTTACAAATATTATAATAAGAGAGTCAACATTATAATTAAAACATAAAACATGAACAGCTAGATTACATTCCTAAATGCTACATTGGAGATTAAGAAAAGCTGCTCAAATTTCCAACAAAAATTCATTTGTTTTAGGAGACAGGGGTGTGATTCCCATCTCAAGCTTTTGCTAACTTTCAGAACAATAACTTTTGTTAATTACTAAAACAAAAAAAATAATTTACAAAATTTCAAAAAATAAATTGCGGAACAACGATCTTTATTTCCTACCTGAGCTGAGCACAGGTCTGTCTTGCTGCCTCTTTCTGTTCCATGGTGCACACTGGTGCAGGTGGGCAGAATGTCCTGGAGCCCCAGCTGTCACCGAAGGTGTTCACGCTGGCCACGTAGGTGCCATCCTTCTTCTTAAAGTCATCATCAGGCTTGCCGTTAGCATCTCCGCAGAGACCTTCCACCTTGCCGAACAACTGACTGCCAATCTGTGAAGGACATTTGCAACAATTAAAATTTGGCATTTCTCTTTTTTACGTCAGATGGTTAATTTAATATCATTAAGTAGTGGAATACATACACAACTTGTAAGTGATAAATCTGTAATTTCAATAATAACTATAGTTTTATGGCTAATTACCAAATTACAAAAACAGTTAAATTTATTCAATGACTTTTGTGTAAAATTTCCACAATGAATGGAAATTGTTTGCAACGTCTTATGGTACCAAGTCAGGCCTCTGAAGCTAAAACTGTCTAAGAAAAGTGCATGTGTCAGAATTTTTCATTCTTTTTGTTTTTTTTCCAGTTTTAACAAACACCCCCTATCCAGACTTGTAGTAAAACATCTTAGTTCCACACCCTACAATAATAACTTCAAAAATATAAATATTATCACACCAACTCACCTGGATGTCTGTCTGGTAGCGCTTGCCCCAGCTGACGATGACGCCAAACTCGGGGATGGTTGCGACCATTTCTTCTCCGACAGCGGCAATGGCCATGCTTCCCAGGGTCTTGCTGAGTTGTTCGAGCTGATATGGCATATAGATCTGTCCGTCAACCTCAACCATCTGTCCGTGGCGCAGTTTGATGAGTTTTCCGTCCAGGGTGATGTGGAGAGAGCGAGTGCATTTGGCGCGGTCCATGCCTCCATCAACTGGGCAGTGGAGTTGGACTAAAATTATCAATGTTTGTGGTTATTAGGCTTTGTTTTAACCAATAAAACTATTTTTTCTATAATAGGTGTATAATTTGCAATATTTCGTAGTATAGAAGAGTTGGCAAGAATATATCATTTTGTCCGATTGAGCTCATTTCAAAATAAAAATTGAATCCAATCTCACCATCGATGTTCAGTCTCTTCATTGCCATTTCACTGACCAAGGTGTGCTTGCAAATCTCATAGTTGTACTCCTTGTTGTCAAAGGTCTTGAACATGTTCTCACTGAGGTGACACTTCTTGGGGACTGTAAAAATGGAAAAAAAATTATAATCTACATTTTATTCATGTTCTCTGACAGTATATACAGTAGTTGTCAAAATTTTTGAACAAGTCAAGTCAACTTGACTGTATAAAAACAAATCATTATCCCTGCAAAACTTTTGGTCTTATTTGCATTTAATAAAAATATTTTGTGAATTGGAATACTTTTTGAAATAATCAGAAATTAAAAATAATAATAGTAGCTGCTACAGGTTCTAATTCTAGTTGATCTACTGGTATTGCAGGGGCATTTACTCATATATAGAACAAGTATATATAAGAGTATATGCCCTGCACTTCAAGTAGATCAACGAAGCCAAAGCTACTGTACAAATAACTTACCCTTTGGTATCCCTGGTGTTGGTGCAGGTGGCGTGGGTCCTGGTGTTGGTGCAGCTGATGTGGTGCGAGGTGGCTTGGTTTTGGTGACTGGTGGTGATGCCCTAAGGGTGTTCCGGCTGGTGGTAGGCTCTGGAGCAGGGGTGGTGTGTGGTAGTTTGGGTGTGGGCTCTGTAAAAACATAAAAAATATTTATATATACATACAGTAGGGGGGAGAGAGAGAGAGAGAGAGAGAGAGAGAGAGAGAGAGAGAGAGAGAGAGA